TTTTGAGAAATTCATTGTCAGGCAATTTTGTCATTGTGTGAACATCACAGAGTATACTGACACAAACCTAGATGGTATAACTTTCTGCACACCTGGGCTGTATGGTATAACTTATTGCTCTGACCATTGAAGCATATGGGGTATGTTGTTGACAGATACATCATTATGTGCAGCACATAACTGTATTCACATTGCTGGACACTATTGTAAATGGTATTTTTTAAAAAATTAAATACATGATCATACATTGTTAGTATATAGAAATGCAAAAGACTTTTTTATGGATCTTATGTCCTGCAATCTTGCTAAACCCACTTGTGAGTTCTAGTAGTGTTTTCATAGATTCCATAGAATTTTCTTCATAGATAATTATTGCATCTTTGAATAACAACAGTTTTACTTCTTTGTCCCCAATCTGGATGTGTTTTATTTATTTGTTTTTTTCCTTATCGCACTGTCTAGAACCTCCTGTATAAGACTGAACAGAGGATAGAGAAAAGATATCCTTGTTGTTGATTTTAGGGGGAAAACATTTAGTTCTTTGCCATAACAAGTACCCTAAGTTTGATTTCTGCCTTGAATAAATTTTTTTAGGCCAAGAAAAACCAATTTTCAAAATTATAGCAGCATCAAACTAAGACACAGTTGTGTGACTATATTAAATATCACTGCTCTTGGTACTCAATATTCAAATATCTGATTGAATATTTTTCAGAGTAAGAGGTGGTTGGAGTTAAGCATTTTGTAATTGACAAAAAGAATTTGTTTAGGTGGAATAAATTGCTATTGCAAATTTTCTCTTTTTTAGCAATATTGTGGGTAGGCTTCAGGGTAAATAAAGTATGTTTTATATACAAATGTGCATTTTATACATCTCTTTATTCACTATTTTTTGTGATTATAATCATTTCATACGTGCTAGAAGAAATATCTCCCCACATATTCTTAATTTCTTCTCAGTTGATAACTACAAAGTACTATTATGGTGATTTTTATAAATATATATTTTTCTATTATAAGAATAATACATCTTCACTATGAAAATGTTTTGGAAATTTAGAAAAGTGTAAAGAAAATAAAAATCACTGCGAAATTCATATCCTACAGAAATATTTTTAACATTTTAGTATATATCTTTTCATAATTATGCATATTATAATAATTATGTATATGGAAACACACGTATACATGTAGTTCTTCATTTGGTAATGTACTGTGGAGAACACTTTATATATTAACTTCTGCTTCTAGTTATGATGAACTAGCTTGTATCACACAAATCCTCCTGTTATGAACTATCATAAAAATTGGAAAAAAAACCTAAAATGGCTGTTTGATGGCATTGGGGAGTAATCAAAAAAGCCAGGATTTAGGGGACTAGATTGAAGTACAGAGAGTAAAAAGGGTGGGAAACGTGACACAAGCATAAAGTTCTAACAGGCGTATAACTGAAGTCCCAGGAGGAGAAAAGAGAGAGAACGGGACAGAGCCAATATTAGAAGAGAGAATGGCTGAGAACTTTACAAAACTGAAAAAAATCAGATCTCAGATTTAAGAAGCTCTATAAACCTAAACCTGGATAAATGAAAAGAAAAATCACTTCTAGCACATCATAGTGTAGCTTGTGAAAAACCAAATCAAAGGCATAATTTAACAGTGATAGGAAACAGGCAAATTACCTTCAAAAGAGCTACAGTAAGAAAGAAGAAAATGAAATGATTAAAGTATTGAAAGGAAACAGCTAATATCCTAGAATTTCATACCCAATAAAACAAGTAAATGTTAAAATAAAATTTTAAAAAAATAAAGGGGGAGAATAAAGAAATTTTAAAACAACAATAACATTAAGAGTTGATCACACCAGAATAGCACTTGAAATATTAAGGCATTTCTTTACTTAGAAGAAAAATGACACCATATGGAAGCACAGTAATGCATGAAGGAAGAAGGAGCACTAGAAATACAAATACACAGGTAATTACAAGGGCATATTCTCTATTTAAAATAATAATAATGATGATATTTTGTAGGGTTTAAAATACATATAGATTTAGAATACATGTTAACATTAGCACAGAAGGAAGAGGGCAGTAAATGGAGTTGAAGTTTTAAAAAGTCCTTGCTTTATCTGGGAGGTTGCAAAAGTAATAATTTAAGGTAGATATTACTAAGTCAAGGATACATATTATAATCTCTAGCACACCTCTAAAAGAATAATGAAAGCTTGTAGGAATAAGAAGGTAATGGAGTGGGAGAAATTGGATAATAAAAATTAATTCAAAAGTGTAAGAAAAGAAAAAGGGAATGGAAACGACATAGGAGAAATAGAGAAGGAAGAATAATAAGTATATTATTATTGTATAATAATAATAAGTATATATCCTTGTCTTAGTTCAATCAGGCTGCTATAACAATACCCTAAATTGGGTAGCTTCTAAACAACAGAAATTTATTTCTGACAGTTCTGGAGGTTGGGAAGTCCATGCACAAGGTGCTGGTAAATTTGGAGTCTGGTGAGGGCCTGCTTCCTGGACCAGCAATCCTCTGTAGCCTCACAAGGTGACAGGGACCAGGAATCTCTCTGGGGCCTCTTTATAAAGGCTCCACTCTCATGACGCAACCATCTTCCGAAGTCCCCATCTCTAGGTACCATCACATTGGGGGACCAGCAATCCTCTGTAGCCTCACAAGGTGACAGGGACCAGGAATCTCTCTGGGGCCTCTTTTATAAAGGCTCCACTCTCATGACGCAACCATCTTCCAAAGTCCCCATCTCTAGGTATCATCACATTGGGGATTAGGTTTCGGTGTATGAATTTTGGGGGGGACACAAACATTCAGACCATAGTAACCCTAATATTATCCATAACTACGTTAAATATATTCTGAAATAAATATTTCGAAGACAAATATTGTCAGACTGGATTAAAAAAACTTTACAATGCTTTCATGGAACATACTTTAAATATAAGAATACAGAAAGGTTTAAAGGAAAAGAATTTTTAAAAAGATATTCCATGATAGTACTAAGGGAAACACAGTGCAGCTATAATGATATCAAACAAAGGAGACTACATATGGCAAGAAGTAGTAAGTGAGTTAAGATTATAATGAAAAAAGGTAATAGGTTCTAATAATAAAAGGTAACAGTTACGATAATAAAATAATTATGTATTATACATAATTTAATTGTATATAATATATTATAATGATAAAATATATAATGATCATCCGATTAAAAAATTTAATTATTATTTATAATAAAATCAGTACAGACACATTATAATTATAAAAGGTTATCAGGTTATAATGACAGGATCATTATAATCAGGTTACAATGATAAAGGAGAAAATATAACAATCCTAAATTTGTGTGTACCTAATAAACCAGCATACAATTATGTAGTAAAAATTGACAGAACTAAAAGCATAAAGAAATCCAGTAACTGAGATTTTTTAGCTCTTTCAGTAACTAATAAAAGAATCAGATAAGATACAGAGATAGAAGATTTGAACAACACAATAATAAATGTCACTAGCTGACATACGTAGAGTTTTGCACCCAACAAATACAGAACATATTTTCAAGTATACATGAAATAATCAGAAAAATAATTATTTACTGGGCAGTAAGTTTCAACAAATGCCTATGAACTGAAATCATATTGAGTATGCTCTCTTTCCACAATGTGATTAAGCTGGAAGGAAATCAATAATAAAAAAGCTAGAAAATCTCAAAATGTTTGAAAATTATCAACTATATACATGCATATGTATATATACATACACATATATGTACATGTACACAGATATACATGTATTTTTATATATGTCATATATATTACAGATACATAATCTTTTTTGTTTCACGCATGTGCTGTTTTCTCCTACAGTGTTCCGTATGGTCATAGCCTGTGAATCTCCTGTCATTTTCTTCACACAAGCCACGAAAATGAAGGGGTCAAATTTATGTAGAACCGAATGGGTAAAGGAAAGCATTTGTATTTCTGGCCTTACAGACTTCTTCCACTGGATACTTTAGGTCACTTCTCAGTATCTCAGCCCTCTTATCTCAAATATACAATAAAGGGCCAGAAATGCTCTTTATTTGGGAATTGCCCGCTCTTGTGGAAGGGAAGTTAGAGGATAGAGTCCAGTTTTTAATTTGCTGGGTCTCACAAAGGGATGGTGGAGGAGAAAAAGAGGAATAGGAGAGAAACAATATTTATTTTATTTCATTCAATCCTCAAAACTGCTGCGGTACCTGAGATGATTTCTCCTTTCTAGAGGAAGAATCCACCACCTGGGAAGATAGCGACTTTGGAGTCCACGTCCTGTCCCTGCTCTGCCTCCCTTGGCTACGCCACACAGGGTAGTTCTCATTAGCGGGAGAATCGGGAATGTACGTAGGAGACTCAGGAGAGTGGGTCGAATAACTTGCAACATTTTATGAAACGTGCATTAAAGTCATGCTTCCCTAAAAGGCTTTCCGAAGCAGTTCGTCTTTTAATCAAGTCTTTGCTTACATATATTTTTAGAAAGCATGAAAGTATCTCAAATTGTCGATCATTATTTGTACTGTCTTCAAACCGTGTGAAGAGACCAGAGTACTGGAAAACTGGTGATTTGCATTTTAAAATTGCATCACCTTTTCCTTCTGCCCAGCGACATGATATGCATGTAATTTCTAATTTCAAATTACATTAGGGCATTTGTGGTATGGAGCTTTAAAAATGGAATGAGAGCCTCGACTGCATAGTTCTCCTTTTTAAATAGACCTGTAACACTCTTTGTTTTTCTTTAATTCAGTCCTTAACAGAAAAGCTTTTTATTATTTCAGATGGACTGGGATTGCACTACTGGAAAGAAGAGAATTTCTAGATTTTTGAGGAATGCTGTTCTCTGCTAGTTCCAAGGCCACTTGACTCGGGGGGTGGAGGCGGTGGGGCGGTAGGGTCAGCGGAGCGCAGTCGCGGCTGCGCCATCTCTTGCTTTTCCAGTCGCAAGGGAGGGACCAGCGGAGGCGCAGGTGCAGCCCCCGGGCGCACGCGGGCAATCCTACACCCGGCGGGCGGGCGCCCCTGCCTCCTCCGCAGGCGGCGAGCTCTTCTTCTGACCACCGCAGGAAAGGCAGAACCCTTCCCCAGGCCAGACGGGTAAGGAATAATAATAATAATGATAATAATAGAGAGGGAGAGATTGCTGTTGGGCTTGCTGTTACCGAGGGCGCACGGAACCTAGGGGGACCGAAGCTTGCCCTTGTAGAATTCGGTGGGATGACCCGGGTCCGCGAGGGGTGTCTTAAAGCAAGAGAGATGGTCTTTACAGAGTAAGGACTCTTCTCTCTCCGGCACTTTGTTTGATGTATTCAACGGGCTGGAATGAGATTTCAACAGGTAGCAGAGAACGCTCTTGTGGGGGAGGTTTGGGGCGCTGCGCCGTCCCCTCTTGGGACCGTACCTCTCCCTAAAGCTACACGTCGACGAGTCTAAACTGTGCTTTCAATTCCTCTTTCCAGCCCCCGGAGTCCGCCGCGACAGGGAGCTGTGGGGCGGCCGGGAGCGCCCCTTCCCCGGAAAAGTCAGAGAAGGGCTTGGAGCGCGGCAGCTCGTGCCCGGGTACAGGTCTGTGCCGACACGAGCTTCGGGACCGCCTGGCCCCGCGGGGTGGCCGTGGGGGACGCGGGATCTCCGGCCCTTTCCCCGCCTTCGCCAAGATGCCCAACAAGTCGTCCTGGGAGCCCGGGATCGCCAACGTGTCGTGCCCGGACCCCACTCTGGGCTGCGTCAACGCGTCGTGCCTGGGCCGGGCGCTGGGCTGCCCCAACGCGTCCAGCCCGGAGCCGCTGCCGTCGCTGCTGGCTGTGGCGGTGCCCGTCGTCTACGCGGTGATCTGCGCCGTGGGACTGGTGGGCAACTCTGCCGTGCTGTACGTGCTGCTTCGGACTCCCCGCATGAAGACCGTCACTAACCTGTTCATTCTCAACCTGGCCATAGCAGACGAGCTTTTCACGCTGGTGCTGCCCATCAATATCGCCGACTTCCTGCTGCGGCGGTGGCCCTTCGGGGAGCTCATGTGCAAGGTCATCGTGACCATCGACCAGTACAACACCTTCTCCAGCCTCTACTTCCTCACCGTCATGAGCGCCGACCGCTACCTGGTGGTGCTGGCCACGGCGGAGTCGCGCCCGGTGGCGGGCCGCACGTACGGCGCCGCGCGCGCAGTGAGCTTGGCGGTGTGGGGCTTCGTCACGCTCGTGGTGCTGCCCTTCGCCGTCTTCGCCCAGCTCGACGACGAGCAGGGCCGGCGCCAGTGCGTGCTGGTCTTCCCGCAGCCTGAGGCCTTCTGGTGGCGGGCGAGCCGCCTTTACACGCTCGTGCTGGGCTTCGCCATCCCGGTGTCCAGCATCTGCGTCCTCTATACCACCCTGCTGTGCCGGCTGCGCGCCATGCGGCTGGACAGCCAAGCCAAGGCCTTGGGCCGGGCCAAGAGGCGGGTAACCTTACTGGTGGTGGCGATCCTGGCCGTGTGCCTCCTCTGCTGGACGCCCTACCACCTGAGCACCGTGGTGGTGCTTACCACTGACCTGCCGCAGACGCCGCTCGTCATCGCCATGTCCTACTTCATCACCAGCCTGAGCTACGCCAACAGCTGCCTCAACCCCTTCCTCTACGCCTTCCTGGACGACAGCTTCCGCAGGAGCCTCCGACAGCTGATAGTGTGCGGGGAGGCCGCCTGACGCCCTAGCGTGCCCCGCTCCCCCACCGGCCCCGCCAGCCCTGGCCGGCGCAGGAGCAGCTGGCGCCCGCGGTGCTCAGAGGGCCCTGCCTGACTTGCAGCCTCAGCGCCCCCGGGAAGCGGGGTAGGGATGCAATCTGCATCCTGGAGAATCGGAAGCGCTGGGGCTGCGCCCTCAAAAGCCGAAGGGCACCAGTCGACCGCGAACTTGTTACCGGGGCGCGTGAGGGCAAAGGACAAGGGCGGGGTTGCGGGAGCCGCCTCTCCTAGCGCTTCTGCCGGCTCCCCGCCCCCTCCCCGGGCGGCCCCGGGCGTGGGCTCCGCGCTGGCCTTTGCCCTTCGCTTCTCCGCTCTCCGCTGCGATGGTCTGCTGCTCTAGCTGGAGAACAGCCTGGCCCGGTCCCCTTCTCCTCCGCGCGCTCTAACCGCTGCCCACCCCTGTGAGATCCGCCGGGCGGGGCGGAGCGCGCGGGGACCGCTGCCGGGGCCGCCGGGGCCTCTTGCACCGGGGAAAACGGGAGAACTCGGGGTACCTGGCGGGGGGTGTGTGTAGTGTGCGTGTCTAGCGGAGGCGTGGGATGGAGTGAAGGACGGTGGGCCTGGTTGTCACTGCCCCTCCCTGCTACAGCCCCTTCTTTCTTTGCCATTTCCCCTTTCCTACCCCTTAAATCCCCTGAAAATGCTCCATGACGGTCAGACTGCGGGGACACCGCTCGCCCCGCTCGGGAGGGAGCCTGCAGGAGTCGCCCGGCGCGCGGTTGCGGCGCCCCCTTGAGGAGCCGGCTGGGCGGCGCTGGGCGTCCCGAGAGCGCTGCGTTTGTCGCGGGGCGCACCTGCTAACTGCTCTCGCCACCGCCTGCGCTGGTCATCGCGGCTTTCTACAGGGGACTTCAGTACTCCCACACCCCTTCCTCCGATCGATCTCTCAAACGACGTGTACCAGTTGTCACTGCTTGTGTGAGTACTGTTTTTCAGGACTGTGAACTGTACAAATCTGTCCTAGTCTCCCAAGTTGCTGCGATGATCGAATGACCTAAAGTGAAATGGGATATATTGCTCCCTTCGTTCCCTTTCTCCTCTATTCTTCCTTGCCTTCTCCTCAAGGGAGAGCCGGGAAGCTGAGATTTCCCTTGGCTGGACGCAGAGACGTGGGTTCCTTGGTCCCAGACGGCCCCTGGTGGGTAGTCCCGGTAAACCTGAGGAATACCTGGTTCTGGTCTCACAGGGGAGGCCGGCGGCGCGCGCCAGCACGCTGCCTTTATCTCCACTTACGGGAGACAAAGTGGATTAAGAGAGAGTAATGACACTTGGGTTTGCTCATTCGTCTGCGGTTTATGCCTCAGGCATGAGGCCAGAACCTTAACTAGACTCTGATAATCAGTTATAGTGTTTTAAAAAGTAATTTTCTTTGGCATGAATTCTAAACAGGAATAAACATTTCTAAAAATGTTTGTTTCCTGTGGTCAGGCCCAGTGTTACCTCTGAGAAAGAGTGAGCTGCTAGCAGTTTTTTGTTGTTGTTGTTTTGTTTTGTTTTTTACCGAGTTTGATTGGCATCTTCAATCTCGATTATTTAGTTTCAAAATACCTTTTAAGAAATATACAGAAAGGAAAAACTCCCCCTTGGGTGTGTATGTGTGGAAGGGGAGAAGCAAACCCTTTTTCAGTTTTGGTGAATGAGAGTTGCTTCCTTAGCTCTCAGAGTTATTAGAAACATTTAGATAATTTACAGCGATCAGTTAGAAAATGTAGATTTACAAACCTTCTGCCTTGGGTGGCAAATAGTAGTAAATAGTTCAAAATAAAGTTTTTCATCACCAATGCATTTTGAATGATGGACATCATGGCATTTGAACAGGCCTCCGCTGGTGGGCTTCAGAGGCCTCTTAGAACTCATTTTAGTATCCTTCCCAACTTCTGGGAAACATTCTATTCATTTTCTTTATAACACACGGAATTCTACAAATACTCTGTAATTTTTCAAAATTAAAGTTTTAAATGTAGAGTAACTTCTAGACTACCTAAGGTCATGGACACTTTACTCAGTGGACATTTGGCCTCTAACACAGCTAGGTGTGACCATCTGGATTTGAAATCTCATCTGTCTGTGTAGGCTGAGTAACTGCATTGACAGACTGTGGACACAGATGGGGGAGAGCTGAGAGTTCCATCTGTCCACTGGATCATCCCTAGCATAGATCTACCTAGAACTGTCTCAGAATCTATGGAGATGACTGCTGGAAAAACACATGGACTGGCATTGCTATGTTGTCCACAGCAAGGCACAGGTTGCCATCCCAATATGCATATGGGGTTAAATAGGACTCAGTAGTTCAGTTCCATCCTAGCTTTCTAAATCATGGGGTAAACTGTTGTATCATTATTTCTAGGTTGTTAGCCTTCATATGAGTATGTAGAAGTCCAGATTGTATGTCTCAGACTTTATTTTTATGTCTTAAGTAATATGTACAATTAATATGTAAATAAGCCAGGCAAAAGTAAAATTTATTTATATCATTGTATTGCAAAGGTTTTAACTCTGTTGAATTCTTGCAGTCTGTGTAAACTATATTCTTTGGTTTTATCACTTCTAATATTTAAATATGCCTATTTGACCTTACTCAATTTACTATAGTGATGTAATGTATGTGCTTATGCTTTCTCTTGAGAAATACAGAAACTCTACTAGTCCATTGCAGAGGAGCTTGGTTTAAAATAAAAGCTGAAACGTTCTCTGTGGTAAATATTCTATTTTCTGAGAACATGGGATCCATAATTTAGTCACCTCGGCATTTATGAATTATTAATTTTCTAAGTACTGCCTTCATGGGAAGTTATCTAATGAATAAGCAATGAATAAATAGAAGTGTTTGACAGGACAAGATTAAGCAGGAACACGCCCCCCCCCCCCACTTAATTTGGTTGATTGTGAAAATGATGCAAAGCTATTGATTTACACAGGAATTCTAGAACTTATGCTGGGCAGACAAAGGTTGTTAAACTTTTATTACACAATCACAAACCTTGTTTCTTGAGTATTAGGGCAGTGGTGTGGAGAATAAATTATTAGCAGTACACATCGTTATTTCAGTTAGCAGTATGCATAGACATGGCACAAATATGGCAAGGTATAGGATCTCACCTGAAAAACCCCATGGACTTATTAGAAACCCTCCTTTTCTTGGCAACATGCTGGGAAAACTACACCACCAAACAACAACCCACCATGAATAGTTATCATCTATGTTTATGCATATTAAGAAATTGATCAGAGAATTCTGCACATAATGGTCTTTTATTAGGGCAGCTTTAGGCTTGGTACTTTTACATACAAAGAAAGTGAGATACAAGGAAGGGGACCAATTTAGTCAGGCCCCCAGAGACCAACCAGAGCCATCTGATTCTTATTCTACGAAATATCTCATCCTTTTCTGACAAAGATGGAATTGGTTGCAATGTATAATTTGGAAACATTAGAAACTATTAAATGTCTTTGAAATACTTAATGGATTAAGCAAGGTATATTTACTACTACATCATGTAAGATAAAGGGAGGGTAAGATTTAATAATAAAATTTCAATCCCAACTAAGAGACTTGCAAAGTATATGGAGCTGTTAAAGTTTATATAAGAATAAAAATTCCTGGCTGCACTGCTCAACTGCAAATGCACCGTGTGCATTGTGGTCTCCATGCTTTATGCATATGGAGTTGAGCTCCAGATGCATCGTTTATATAGAATAGAATGTTAATGGTGCCTCTATTTACGTAGAAAGGGAGTTTTGCAGTGGATGATTCTGTCCTTGAGGTTAGGGCAAGGTACATTTATTTATACCACATCTCATAAGATTATATGAAGACATCATATCACACCAATTAACAGGAAAAACAAAATATGGGTAAAAGGAAGAAACGCTAAAATGACTCCTTTCAAAAACTGTCAGAATGGATGAACTGCATGCTTCCCACAGTGGAATACTGACTGGCAGTAGGGGCAGGGTGCATCCCCGCAAGCACCTTGAGGGCAGCCCTGCATCAGGACCAGATGCCCTAGTGGGCCCTGGCCTGCGGAGTTGGTTCAGCATCTTTCTGTGAAATCTGGATCCTCTAACCAAGACTCGTGGCCATAAGGTCATCCCACCTCCCTTCAGAGGTGTCCTGAGGAACAGAGTCAATGAGTGCAAGAACCAGGCCGCTGCATGCCATGGAAAGAGTAGGTGGAATTCACTGTTGAATTGTGTGCGAGAGATTGTGAGTGTTCCCAAAGGCGAGGGGCCTGTCACTTATGAATGTTAAATAGTAACAACAAAAAGGACATTTTAAATGGTTCATCCATGTGGCAAATGAGCTTTCTTTAGAAAGCAATAAACCTGTGGTAGAGGAGAAGAGAAGACTAGCCCTATTCAGTCTAGGTGATATGAATGAAGCAATCAAATTTAAAAAGCTGTAAATATTTACACCTGTAAAAGTACCCAGTGTGTTATCCACATCCTCCTACATAACACCGTTTTGATTCCTGTAACTCCTCCCTCTCAATAAAAATGCCACTCTTTATTACTACCTTTTTACTTTTTTTACAGAGGAATTCGAGGAGTCCTAGTTAAAATGGAGTTTCTCACATAATTTCTAAAGAAATTGCATCTTGGGTTTATTATTACAACTTGTTATTATGGTTAAGATTATAATATACCTTTAAACACATTTATTTAATATGCAATGCTTTTTAATGTGCAAAAGATGTTAAATAATGAGGTTTCTTGCGATTTTTATACTTCCAGTTACAGGAAGAATACATCTAGTACAACTTTTCTATTGAATTTTTCAGAAATGATAATGAAAACAATCATCCATCCAATCTTTTAAACTTTAAAAATTTTGAGCCCAATGCATGTTTAATTTTTTATGTTGGAAATAATTTTATTTTTTAATCAAAGTAATACATATGCATGGTTTAAATTTTTAAAACTTCAATTGTACTAAAATACTTATAACCGGCAGTTTCC